ATGAACGAATGAATGAATGAATGAACGAATGAATGAATGAATAAATGAATGAATGAACGAGTGAATGAATGAATAAATGAATGAACGAACCAACAAATCGATGAACGAATGAATGAACGAAATATTGCAAAATGAGCCAAATAAAAACTGAGTTATTAATACAAATTCACATACAAATATTTGAAAACAGCGAAGAATTAAAAGCCGAAAGCAAATCGCCATCACCATCATCGCCACCATCATCGCCACCATCATCGCCACCATCATCGTCATCATCATCATCCATCGTCATTGATACTTATACTTCCAAAACGGCAAACTTGAAAACCAGCGCAAATACACACAAAATGAAACACAAACGACCTTAATATATCCCCAAGACGAACTTTCTCTCTCTTTCTCTCTCTCTCTTTTTCTCTCTCTTTCTCTGTCTTTCTATCTCTCTTTCTCTCTCTCTCTTCTTGTTTTTTTCTCTTTCTCTATCGCCTTTTCTTTCTTTCTTTATATACATACACAAGGCCAACAAAAACTAAAAATATTCGCTACGTTTATACATTATAAACAACATATATACAAACGTACATACATACATACATACATACATACATACATACATACATACATACATACATACATACATACATACATACATACATACATACATACATACATACATACATACATACATACATACATACATACATACATACATACATACATACATACATACATACAGCGGACGAGAAAATGAAAAAATATGGGAACGCCCTCCCCTCGATGGAATTCTTGCCAATATGTATCGAGGTTCTCGGCCCGATGGACCCCAACACCCTTAAACTTCTTAAGGCAATATGCAAAATGATCAGCGTCAGATCAGGCGACAGCAGGGAACTGTTTTTCGCAACTAACCACATTTCGTGCTTGTTGCAGCGGTTCCTGCGTGTCTGTGTGCTTGAAAATATCCAACTGAATGCCGACATGTGCAATTAACGACAAATCAAAGTGTTAATCCATTTGTTACTTGATGTTTGACGGTTCAGTGTCACTCATCATTTTTTGGTTTTAACATACATACATACATACATACATACATACATACATACATACATACATGCATGCATGCATGCATACATACATACATACATACATACATACATACATACATACATACATACATACATACATACATACATACATACATACATACATACATACATACATACATACATACATACACAGCTTACTGTATAGCTGCTTTATTGATTTCTTTTTATGGGAATCTTTTCCATTTATATCTCGTTGTTTGCGTGGTCGGTGTGAGTGTGGCCTTGTATACTTGTATGTGCGTGTATGCATGCATGTTTGTTTGTGTGTAAGTTTGTATGTATGTGTGTATGTACGTGTGTGTGTGTGTATGTATGTGTGTGTGTGTACGTCTTTGTGTGTACGTGTAATAATTTCGACCAATAGCAACGTGGGTAGGAGGAGCTTACATCAATGGAACGGCTGAAGCCATATTTGCCAGTGACCTTGGATTAGCCTGGTGTCAGGCCCCATTTGGATACGCCCTAAGTTTGGTCCTTGGTTAGTCGGTTGACTGTGATTGGCTGATTGATTTGTTCATTGTGATTGGCTGGTCGGTTGATTTGCTGATTGCGATTGACCGGTTGGTCGGTTTTGATTGGCTGGTTGGTTGATTTACAGATTTGTTGGTTGATTGCCAAATTTATGCTGCAAGATGGCTGTTTTATTAATTCATAAATTAGTAAATTGACTGTGGTTTATTAATCAATTAATCTTTGATTGATTAATTGGTTGGTCGATAAGCTAGTTCATGGAGAAGCAAGTTACTGAATGGAATTAAATCAATAATCGTCACACAGTATATCTCTATTTATCACCATTTTAGCTGTTATTAATATTAAAAATTATAATAAAAATTATTATAAAATAAATTATTAATTACAGCGGTTATTAATATTCAAAATTATAATAAAAATTAATATAAAATAAATTCAATTACAGGTGGGTTGTTTTTCGCGAATAAAATGCGAACAGAGGGCTACGTGACTATGCTGGACCCCTTCCAACAGAAATACGGCGAACGAATGGGTGGGTTGTTGTACCTGCCGGCCCTCATGGGAGAAGTCTTTTGGTCCGCGGCCATATTAGCCGCCCTAGGTTGGTTGGTTTTTGTTTGGCTAGTTGTTAGTAGGTTCACTTGTGTTTTTAACTGGTTGTTCGTTTGTTACTCATTCGTTTGTTCGTTTATTAGTTGATTGATGGTTCGTTTATTCATTCATTTATTCATTCATTCGTTCGTTCATTCATTCAATCATTCATTCGATCATTTGCCAGGTTCAACGCTAGCGGTTATTATAGACATGGATAACAACACAGCCATCATATTATCGGCATGTATTGCTGTTGCGTATACCTTGTTCGGTGGTCTATACTCTGTTGCGTATACGGATGTTGCGCAGCTGTTTTGCATCTTTTTAGGACTGGTTGGTTGATTGATTGGTGGTTGATTTTTTCTTTGAATTTGAATAAATGTTTGATTGATTGAATTAATGATTGACCGGCTGACTGACTGACTGACTGACTGATTGATTGATTGATTGATTGATTGATTGATTAATACAAAATAAAATATCTCTTCAACCAATCCAGTGGCTAGCTGTACCATTTGCACTAACTCACAAAGCCATGGAGGGCAGAAGTATTGTTAGTAAGCCGATCACCTGGTTGGGCACCATTGAAAAAAAAGCCGTCGGTGAGGAAATAATAATTAAGCGCTATATAAATCAATTTTTATGGTGTGTTTATTTAAATATTTATAATTAAATTATTTTATTTACTTGTGAAATTATTTTTTCGTTAGGATCTTGGTTCGATTCAGCTCTTTTGCTTGTTTTTGGCGGCATTCCTTGGCAGGTGAGGCATTTTTTGAGTAAATATGAATACAATTAATCAACCAATCAATCAACCAATCAAACAACCAATCAAACAACCAAAAAATCAACCAACTAGCCAACCAATCAAACGACCAATCATATTTTGGCCCACAGGTATATTTTCAGAGGGTTCTATCGGCCCGTTCTCCAGGAAGGGCCCAAGCGATGTCGTACGCGGCGGCCCTAGGCTGTCTTATCCTAGCTCTACCACCAGTTCTCATTGGAGCCATAGCTAAAACAGCTAGTTAGTTGCTAGATGGCTTGTTTTTTTAGTTTTTTTTATTATCCATTTAATTTAATGTCAAAAAAAGACTTTTTTGAATTAATTTTGATAGCATTATGTTTTTTTTTCTCATGCGCTCTCTCTCTCTTTCTCTCTCTCTCTTTCTCTCTCTCTCTCTCACTTCAACCTTCTCTCTTTTTTCCACGCAGATTGGAACGAAACAGACCTGATGTACGTGAAGAACATAACAATTAGCGAATCGGAGCATAGAAAACTAATTCTCCCAATGGTTCTGCAATATCTTTGCCCATCCTGGGTGACCTTTATAGGGCTTGGAGCGGTTTCGGCTGCTGTCATGTCGTCCGCTGATTCTTCGGTCCTCTCTGCCAGCTCCATGTTTGCTAGAAATATCTACAAGTCAATTTTTAGACAAAAGGTTGGCATGAGGAATCGGTAAAAATAACACGAATGAACTTTTTTTTTAATTTTTACTCCTTAGGCTTCAGAAATCGAAATAATCTGGGTTATGCGAGTCGGTATATTCGGTGTCGGTATAATGGCAATGGTGATGGGCATCCTCATCAAATCGATTTACGAGTTATGGTACCTCTGCGGCGACCTGGTCTACGTCATTCTCTTTCCACAACTCGTGTCGGTAATTTACCTGAAAGGGTCCAACACTTACGGCTCTCTGGCTGGTTTCGTGGTAGGTGTGACTATGCGGCTGCTAGGCGGTGAGAATGCCTTTCGTCTGAAGGCGATAATCCACTACCCCGATTACGACGAAGAGAATAACGTGCAGTATTTTCCGTTTAAGACTCTGACGATGCTAATTAGCTTCGGCCTGATCGTCATCATATCCTACCCGTTGAAGATCCTGTTCGAAAGGCGGATTCTTCCCAAAAGCTGGGACGTTTTCCAGTGCATCGTGAACATTCCGGACGAGATGATTGTGCTGAAGGAATCGGAGGGTGTGAATGGAGAGGTAGTGGTAGGGAACATTTATTTTTTTATTTTTAAAAATTGTTGACAATCGATTTTTTTTAATTTGATTTCAATTTAATAAAAATAAAACCTATCCTATAATTGCTTGTTTATTGCTGCAGCCTTATGAGTAGAGTACTTGGTAACCAGGCTCGAATGCAAAAAAATCCCCGACCTTTACAGAAATTGAAATGCGCTGTGCACATGTATTATGTTAAGAAAAAAATTACTCTCTCTACGACATAATAATTATAATCATAATTAATAACAAGACTATAATTAATAACTATAATTTTTACAATATTTTCGACAGGCGGCAGCGATAAACGCCAAAAGACCGGTCCCTGCAACGGCGGGAAGCATAAATCCTGCTCTGAAACTCACAAGGGATGACCTCTTATTATCGGCTAATTACCAAAGATTAGCCGAATCGAGAACGCCCAGCCCTCTTCCGGATCCGAACATGCGCATCCCTGGACCCCTTAACTACGAAGACATCAATCAAACAAATCCGCCGGATAAATCCGGGAATAAAACCGGAAGTATTGACAGTGGGGATAGTCGAGCCCAACAGCAACAGCAACAACAGCTACAACAGATAGCATCCGATACCAAGATAACGGTTTCGGAACCGGATAATTGAAAATACTCGAAATATCGATACTTGAGTAAGTACTCGATTTTTTAGAAAAAAATGGCAGTGCGAGTGTGTTTCTCAATAGTGAACTGTTGTTGTTTTAGATTGATAGGTTAGAAATATATATTTATGGTTTTTTATTTGGTAGAGTACCTAGTTTTGATGTCTTTTGATGTTGTTGATGTGATATTATTGCAGTTGTTGTTGTTGCTGATGTTGTTGTTGATGATGTTATTCATGGTTTTTGTTGGTTGTAGAAATATGAAAAAATTAGAAAGTTAAAACTTGCTAGAATTGCATCACAATCAGAATTGAAATATCTTAAAATTGTGATGAATTTTTGTTGTTTACGTAACACATGTGTTTGTTTGAACGCGTGTATCTGTCTGTTTCTATCTCTCTGCCTCTCTCTCTCTTCTCTCTCTCTCTCTTCTCTCTCTCTCTCTCTCTCTCTCTCTCTTCTTCCTTCTCTAAGTATACACGTATATGTCTATCATGAGATGTTAGGATCAAAATTATAAAAATGTTAAGTGTTGTATTAGTAAAATACTATTGTACTAGATGCATACTTTACCATGTACTAGATGTACATAAATATGTAGTACAAATGTACTAAAAATTTTAGTGCACGCATACTCAAACGTACGTAGGCACTAACCATGCTATAGATATATACTCACTGTGTTTAAAGTGTTTTAGATGGTTTCATTTTTTTAGTTTTATTAATTTTATAGGGTGAAATTTTGTTAAATATTTAACTTAGAAGAAAATATTGAACTCAATTTTAAATATATTTAGTTAGATTTTTTGTTTATATAACGGGTATTAAACAGATATATCAACGTAGATTCGATGCGATTGTATTATTATTAACATTAATAATATTATTATTATTAATATTTATTTTTTTAACCATAATTAAACCAAAATATTACTTCATTCGTATAAATTTTTAATAACTTTCACATTTAAACTAAGAAATATTTCATCTTGCTCAAAAAAGATTCTACAACATTTTTTTCATACAAACTCTTAACCACACTCAAATCAGTGTGTATATATATATATATATATATATATATATATATGTGTGTGTGTGTGTGTGTGTGTGTGTGTGTGTGTTTGTGTGTGTGTGAGTGTGTATAGATATATATACAGTATTGTATGAATTCTACAAAATTGATTGATGGATTTATCAATTTAAGGTTTGTCTTTTCAGTACTCCTTACTAGTAAGAAACATTAAAAAGGCAAACCTTAAATTGATTAATGCCAACAACTTGATAGAAATTCGTACAATCCTCTATATAAAATGGTCTTCTCCCAACACACTCACATAAACACGCACGCACACACACACAAGTATATATATATATAAATATATATACATATATTAATAAAATTTGTCTTTCTACACAACTGCAATATCTTATATGTAAATGTATGAATATTCATATATATATATATATATATATATATATATATATATATATATATATATATATATATTTATGTCATTTTTTTCAAGTATAATAGTGAGAAAAATATTACTAATGGCAAAAATTCACCTATATATAATTATGTATTATATTTTTTCACATCCATTAATCAAGCATATATATATATATAAATATAAATATATATATATATATATATATATATCGTTTATATGCAATAAATTCATTTTATTATTCTTTTATTATTTATGTTTTTTTTTTTTCATTTTTGATAAAAGTCGTATCATCCAAAGTATTTTATTGGCTCATGGTTCACAGATAACGTATTTCCATCTTTTTTTTATGATAAATATGACCTTGAACTTACTTTCACATGCATATATATATATATATATATATATTATATACACACATACATATACATATATATATATACATGCATACATACAAACATACAAACATTCATACTTATACTAATTTATATAAATATGTAATCCGTTCATCTTTCTAAAACATTATTGAATTAGTTTTATTTCATTTATGACATTTTCTATCATAATTCCGTAGTTGTATTGATAATTATCGTTACTTATATTATTATTGTTGTTGGCGTTATTATTGTTATGATGGTTTTTTCATTAGTTTCAGTTTCGATTTTGAATGAAAAGAAAATGAATTAATAATATATGCTCACTCTTTGATTCGTTGGATGTTTTGTAGGTTTTTTTTCGATATTCTTATTATAGGATGCTATTGCTAGTCTTGGTTCATTCATTTATTTACACGTTCTTTCATTCCCTCATTCATTCTTGCATTCATTCATTATTTTTTCATTCATTCATTCGGTCATTCATTATTCATCGCATCTATTTACACACAAAACCATTAAATAAGTAAGTATGTATATCTCAATAATTAAACTTGACTATATATATATATATATATATATATGTATGTATATATATATATATTATATATATGATATGTATATATGTAAGTATGTATTGGGTATTCGTATATTGTATTTTGTATTGTATATGTGTTTGTTGTTGTTTGTTGATGTTAGTGATGTTAGAAATACTATATATATATATATATATATATATATATATATATATATATATATATATATATACTCAATGATATTTATATATATTAGTATTCACTAGACAATATAGTAGATTGTTAAAATCTTTACCAATTGTTTCAATTTGTCATTTGTTGTTTATTCTTTAGTTTGTTCATTCTTTTAACCATTAATTCATCCATTAATTCATTCAACCATTCGTTCATTCATTCGTTTACTCGTTCATTCATTCAATCTCCACTCATTCATTCACGATTGAAAAATAATTTTATTAACACAATAAAACCTACAAAAATGGAATTACATATATATATAAATATAATTAACATCATAATTTATCTGCAATTGTTAACTATATTAAAAAATATTATATTTATATTACATTTAAACTCTGTTTTTAGATGCTTTAAAAATTTCTGTTAGACTAGCTATATATCTATATATATATATAGATATACATACATATATGTATATATACATATATGTATATAAATAGATGTATATATATATATATATATTTGTAGGAATAATTATGGAAATAAAATATTTTAGAAATAACTGTTTGGTTCTTTGGCGTTGGTATGTCTTTGGTATAATAATAATAATAATAATAATAATAATAATAATAATAACAATAATAATATTTAAAAGTTGAATGAAGAAAAAATAAAGAGAGAGAGAAAGAAACTAAGAAAGAAAGAGAGAGAGAGAGAGAGAGAGAGAGAAAGGGAAAGAGAGAGGGAGAAGAAAAATAACAAAGACAAAACTTTGGATTTTGACAAAATGAAATGGTAAAGACACGAAGAAAAAACTATTTATATTGTTATTTAGTGTTTTTTTCTTTCCACTTTTTCCTCTTCTTCTTCCTCTTCTTCTTCTTCCTCTTCATCATCATCATCATCATCATCGCCATCGTCATCAACTTTCTTGTTACTATTTACACTGCTGCTTTTATCTGCTTCTTTATGAACATCATTGCTACGTGTAGTATGATTATTATTATGATTATTCTTCTTATAATTATTCTTATCATTATTATTATTCTTATTATTAAGTTTATCATGATCATCATCGTCGTCGTTATTATTATTTTTATTATGCAAAATTCCTTCCTCCAGTAACTTGACCCTCGTTTCCAGCATCCTCTGCTTCAGAGTTAGGTAGATGAAGCGATGCTCGTCGGACTGGAATGCTGAGAGCTGTATAGGGAATGGGTTTTCTCTCATTTAATTTTCATTCGTTCGTTCGTTCGTTCGTTCGTTCATTCGTTCATTCATTCATTCATTCGTTCAATCATTCGTTCGTTCATTCATTCATTCATTCATTCATTCGTTCGTTCATTCATTCGTTCGTTCGTTCGTTCGTTCGTTCGTTAGGAACAAATATTGCCAGTAATTAGAATTTCAATATTATTAAAATTCTTACTAACTTCTTGATCGGTGCAGCCAACGTGCTTATTATTGTTGTTGTTATTATTGTTTTTATTATTATTGTTGTTGTTGTTGTTCTTACTCTTCTTGACTATCTCTAACTCTCTGGATAACCTTTTACACTTGAACTTCAGCTGCGAATTTAAAGTTACAATAAAAACAATAACCACACCACAACCACCACCACCAAAACAACAACAACAACAATAGTAATAATAATAATAATAAACACAACGGTGGCAATAACAACAACAATAATCTGACCACTTGCAGACGGAATATCATTTTGTCAGGTTCAAAGGTCAACTTTTTCGGGTCATCATCATCGGCGTTATTATTGTGATTATGATGATTATTATTATTATTATTATGATTATTATTATTATCATCATTTTTATCTTTATCATTGTCGAATTCGTCACGAGATAAGATTCTG